ATTCTGTTATACACTACATGTTTGTAACTGTGTCCAACATCAAAACTGCATCAACACTACGTGTTTGTAACCATGTCCAACATCAAAACTGCATCAACACTACAGGTTTGTAACCATGTCCAATATCAAAATTGCATCAACACATTAGGCTGCCCAGGGAGGTTGTAGGCTGGCCAGGGTGGTTGTGGAGTCTCCTTCTCTGGAGATATTCAAGACCTGCCTGGACACCTTCCTGTGTAATCTCGTTTGGGTTCCTGCTCCGGCAGGGGGATTGGACTGGATGATCTTTTGAGGTTCCTTCCAATCCCTAACATTCTGTGTTTCTGTGATTCTGTGATTCTGTAACACTACAGGTTTGTAACCATGTCCAACATCAAGACTGTATCAGCCAGTGTACGTAGCACTGCTCTGTGACAGTCACGTTAACATCATGACTGGCTGTTGCAGAAGAGCTGGGGTGTTTTTCCAGTGTTATGGATGCCCCTTCCTGCCTTAGAGAGGATCACTGCAAGTCTGGGAGTGCTCGCCCTGAGGTCTGACACCTTTCCACAGTGTTTTGCTAAACATCTCCACTGCCCGAGCGCTCTGATTTCACCTCATTTCAGTTATTTCTGTCTGTTTCACCCTGTGCTTCATGTTTGCGGCGTTGACCTTAACCACCATCAGAACTTGTGACTCCAGCAGCTGGGCTGAGTCACTGCCTAAACCAAATGCAAAGAGGAAGGAATGCACTTTAAAGCCTTCTGCTTGTGAAAAGTTATTTCTCTCTAGGAATTCCCTAAGAACTGTATTTTGCTTGTAGAATACCCTGAAATGTTTTACACAAGTCAGCTGTATAGAAATGCAAAATTATACTGTCCTTCCAAACATGTTTTCTGTCTGTGTGATTTCCTTCTCTTTAGGACACCTTTGGTTAACACTTTACCTGACAGACTCCTACCTGGCTGTTCTCTGGACAAGTGGACAGCACTGGGTCACTTGCAGAAGTTATGAAGGGAACCTCTTGTTTTGTTTTGTTTTGTTTTGTTTTGTTTTGTTTTTTCCTTTCATTATTACTGACATTTTATTGGGGTTATCGTTTTTGTGTCACTAGCATCTCACAGAGGGAGTGATTTTTGTATTTGCTCTCCTGGTCCACACTCTCTCATTTGCCATGAAGCAGAAATAAATTGCCATCTTGAATTTACTGCTGTGCAGTCAAGACACAGGGAAATGAAATGACCTACCTGAGGTGGGATGGGGAACCTATATGGCTCCTACAAATCTAATGTAGTTCTGATCACATTCCTCTTTTCTCTCACTTTTCCCCAGCCAAGTCCATGCTGTGCCATGTTGCCGTCTATTTCAGTCCTCTCTAGAAAGTGTCTGTTCTCCAAAGTGGTTTAGAGGGGGTTTATTTTTTATTTTTCCTGGAGCTGGGGAAGGTGGAGAATGCTGGCAGATATTCATTAGTATTGGAAAGATATCTCAGGATGTCTCTTCCCTCTTCCAAAGCCGGGGGTTTTAGACCTAAACAAAACACTGCAAAGTCAGGGAGATAGAATGTTTGTGCAGACTACTCCTTGTAATTATTGGGTGCTTCATAACAATGATTCCTAAGCAAAAGTAGTTGATGATGGCCAGAAGTTGTGTGGAGCTGTGTGATGGAGTGGATGGGCTCATCCTCTCAGTCCAACCCTGACATCTAGTGTACACCAAAGGGAAATTTTCTAAGTGTGAAGTTCAGAAATGAAATCTGAATAAATAAATGAAATTATCTGGGGGGAGATCTGCCTTTGCAGTGCACTTGACCTTTTTCTGCATTGACGATTTCTAAAGTAACCACCTGCTGCCAGCATAGAAATAAATCTGAGTAATCTGTCTCTCTTGGAAAGTCTTATGATGTCAGACTTATGATGCCGTTTAGACTTGTTATGAATTACTCATTGCAAATATCAACACTTGCAAATATGAATTACTCGTTGCAAACATCAAGATTTGCAAATTTAGCCTTTTTTTCTGTTTAGTCCATTTGTGATCTGAGTCTTTGCTGTCATCACTGGATCATTTTGCTATGCCAAGAAAGTTTGGTGCTCTGTTTTTGAGAGGGAGTTGTTTATTTTTTTTATTTATTTATTTATTTATTTTTTTTTAGAAAAGGTTTAAAGTCTGAATTAAAAATCTGAATGTTAAAATCCACAGTGAGTGAGACATCGAGAGACTCTGGAGTATTCATTTTTTATATTTTCTGTATTTCTGTGTCTACACAAACAGGGACTGGAAAGGAAGATTGGCTCACATGTCCTCAAGGGCAATTGCAGCAGCCAGAGCAGAGAGGGAGGAGGAGTTTTGGCTCAGAAGCTTAAATGAGTCCTGCTGGGGAGAGCCTGGTGCCCTCTTCTTTAGTCTCTCCCATCAGACATTTAGAATAGTATCATAGAATAGTTTTGGTTGGAAAAGAATCTTGATCTTAAAGGTATTTTCCAACCATCATTCTATGATTCAGTACCTGTGTGTAGGCAATGTAAGTGACTTCAGTCTGGAGCATCCCAGTCCTAACAGTGCTATGGAAAGGCTTAGCCTGTTTCTGGGCTTTCTGTTTCCTTCTGTTTTTACTGTAATGGCCATGGGGGACCTTTGTGGACACTGGGTACAAAAGCATTTCTGCCTCAGAACTCACCAACGCCAGCCGTGTGCCTAGGAGAGCAATTTGTGCAGTTTTTAGCACTATCTGGTCTCAAAGGAAGAGTTTGGAGCCCAACTGACAAGAAATAAACCCAATAAACCACATTCACACCACTGTACAATCCACACATGATTCTGCAACATCTAAAGGCTTTGTTTTGGGGGAAGGGGCAATGTTTATCTGTTTTGAGAAAAAAAAAAATGTAGCTTATTCCCAAATAAAATAACATTTAGCACTTTCACTGAGTGCAATGAGGCAGGTGAAAGCTTTGAGAAATGATTCATCGCACTGTTTCCCAGGAACATTGCAAAACCTCCTATTTACTTAATTGATCAAGTGAAAAAATTACTTTTTCGACACTCATGTTGCTCCTGGGTGGAAAAAGAAGTAAAGTTGAGAAAAAGAAAATGCTGAATTACCAGGCTATGAATTTGCAATTTTAAATGAACTGCAGCAAATGATGTATATTGTGGCATTTTTATGGCTGGGCTTCAAGTTGATCTATACAGGGATGGTAAATTAGGCTGCTGTGCCACCAGAGATGTCACTGGGATCGTAACTCCTTTTTGGAGAAGAACATGGAGTGCTAGGCTTAAAGGGTGCTCTCTTTTTTTCATGTTAAGCTGTGTCAGCATTCCCCAGGCTTGGAAACAAATACTCTTCAGAGCAGTGAAGTCAGTCATATGCTATTTGTGCTCCTGCCTTGTGTAGTTAAGGACCTTCATGTGTAAATACTTACATTTTCACAGCTAATCCATTGCTCAGGTTCATTTGAATCTTTTCAGGACTATAACCTCTCACACTTGCTGTATTTTGCACTGAAAATATTGACCAATTTCACTGGTAAAGCTAGACACGGATCGCACTTATTTCTTGTCGCATACTTGCAGTGACACACTTTACTGTGTAACTGCCATGAATGTGGTTATAGGAAGTATTGATTGATTACATTTTAAATATTATCTCATCTGATAGATTAACACGATTAAAAAAAGTACATCTCCTAGGTGTCAGGCATCCCATTAATAATATAGCTGACCTCTTGTGCACTTTAACACACGATTATTTATTATGAGCTTGTTGATTACATCTTGAAGCTGAGTATCTGCGAATGGGCTGCGTTCTCACAAAAGATGCTGGGTCAGTCACTGTGGCAAATGAAGTCCAAACTAATGTGCTCCTCAGCTGTCTGCCTAAGGGTGTTAAAAAGATATCTAAATTCAGTCTGCCAGGCTAGATAATCTTTAACCTCTCTGCTGAGGTCCCTAGGAGTCCAGCTGGCAGTGCTGCGCACGGGGCTATTAAGGTAAGCACAAAACTACACAGTTCTACCTATTTTGTATAATATTCTACAAGTACCCATCTCTCTTGGTACAAATGCTGAAGGCTGTAGCTGGCTGTGAAAACAATTCTTGATTGAGTCAATGAGGTCAACTGTTAAAAAAAAAGTGTGGTGCTGTTCCACCTGGCAGTATGCACACACCATTGAGTAACATTATTTTACTCAATTTTTACTCTGTTGCTATGATTTTGAATCTTCACAGCCCCGCCCCTAACTAACAACCTAGGACTCAGTTTAAAAAGCAGATATAAAAAGAAAATAATATGTAATAAAGGGTTCAACTATCCAACTAATTTATCTTTCACCAACCCAGGAATGAAACCTTTGAAGGAAAGAAAAAAAATCAAGTCTACCCTGGTGTTAACAGGCAAGTGCTGCACTTCTCTTCTGAGCTCTGCCCTCCCTCCTGTTTGATGTGTCAGTGTTGAGAGGCCTCAGCTGTAAGTTTTCATACTACTGTAAATCTACCTTTCTCTCCTCACAAATACAAGTCATGAGGAGATTCAGGCTGAGGAAGTGTTTGGTTTGCATTTCAGGGACTCTGGAGCTGATTTGTGCCCTCCCACTCTCTCCATCTATCCCATCAACTCTGCACCTGGGAATTTGCACTGTGGTCAGTGTTATTCCAGCAGAGGAAAGCTGGATGAATGAGGTGAAATGTCAGGAGAAAAATGAAATTTGAATTATGAGTTGACATTTTATGACTCTGTGCTACCAACCACTCTGGTATGTAGTGCCAGGTACAGCGGATTGGTGGTGTCCTTTGTGTTAATCCTTATCACCACGCTGTACAAAGCTAGAGCTGATCTGAGGGGGATTCCTCATTGACAAAAATCCTGGGAAGCTGCTTTTAGTAAACCAAGAGAATCCTTCCAACCACATTTGTAGGTGAAATTCCTGTCATCATCTCCTCTGATGGTTGCTGGGATTTCATGAGATGCAGGTAACACTTGAAGATAATTTAAATTCAAGTGCAAGCTTGAGAAAATTATTATTTATAAAAATGAAAGGACTGTTTTTTTTCTATGTACTGCCACTTTGAATGACCCAGAATTATTTACACTGCATTATTGGAAATATCACTGTAATCTTAACTGGGGATTGTGTCTCCATCCTTTTCTTCATCTTCCATAATCACTGTTTGCTTTTCTTCTGTAAGCAGCTTAGTGCCTTAAAAACAGAAGGACACAAACACACACACACACACAAAAAAAAAAAGAGAGAGGAAAAAAAACAAGAGTTGATTTAAAATATTATTTCTTTAGAAAATATCAGGATAAGAAGAATCTTTCAGTCCTCTCTAATTTCTTGACCCTAATGTCATTTTCCAACACCATGGGAGTTACTCCTCATTTATTTTTGGCACATCAGTCTCCTGATATTTAGCGAACTAGAACTGGATCACTGCATTTTTAGCTACGTTTGTCAGCCACTCTTAAATCCAGCCAATTTCTGCTACCTGTGGAAAAAGAGACACTGAAGTTTCATCTGAAAACTTCTTTGTTAAAAGGGTTTGGGAAACTAAAAAAGGGAAAGAACTTGCATCTTGAAATAAATACTGTGACTGATCTTTGTGACTGAGTTTATGTGAACATATGTATGCATGCTTGTTTTCTGTATACATACAGCAATATCACTTAGATTCTGCAAATACAGATACCAAAGGAGACAAATGTTAGAATACCCACATGCCAAGTGCCATCCCCGCTGAGGTTATATAGTGTCAATAAATTACAAAAGCAGTTGGATTAAGATCAATATAAAAACACTCAGGTATGTTACTGAAGGCTTTGAGCCAGTTACTGAGGTTTGGGATCGTAACAAGCTTTGTAGCCTGGCTGTTCTAGAAGAAAAATAAAGCTTCATCCCCAACACAAAAGCACTGAAGAACAATATGACATGATATTGAAAGGAATTTGATTTCACAGTTTGAGCACAGCATAGGGATTCCAGAAACGTTTTCATCAGCTGTAGGTATGCTATGTGAGGTGTCTTTCCATGTAGAAGTGATTCCTTCTTCCAAAGTCCTTCTCTGTTATATAGATAGGTTGTGGATTGTACCTTCCACAAATTTTTGCCTCCCCTGCTTCCCCTTTCTATCTCTCATCCTTAAAACAGTGAATCCACTCCTTATGGATCTCAGGGCTTTTATGTGATATCTTGATATCACAACTTTTGTAACTGCTTTATTTATTAGAAATTAAATTAATTGAGTGAAGAGAGGATAATGCATTAGACAGAAAACGTTCTTGAGCCCTGTTTTAACAGACTGTGTTGGGTTTGCCCATTCCCAGTAAAAAGCTAGTGACCTGTAGGACATATTTTACGCCCACATTCCTTGCTGTGGAGGTTAACATAGTCCAAAAACAGGATGAGGGTTACCATTGTGTCGAGACCAACGAAATCTCTCCCTGATGCGGTCTCCTGCTGTTTGCTCTCAGTCTGTGCTAACCAGCTGAGTTGTTCAGTCAAACCAACCTGTTTGCTTCTTTCTGCATCGAAAGCCCTCTCACAGAGAAGGCTTTCAGTCTTGACGAGCTCTGAAAATAGAGCAATACCACATAGGAAGGTTTTCTTCAGCTTTGGAGTCTTTTCAAGAGGTGATGGATGAATGAAAATATTAACCTATACTGCCCTTCGTTTAAGTTAGCTCCTGCTTCATTTATATGCAGTTCTTTTGAACTAGCTGGTTTCAGCAGGAAAAAAAGGACCATAAGATAAACTGAAAGGCATGAACTAATATTATTTCAAAACACAAAGGATTTAATTCGATGAAGCAGCAGTTGAGTAACCACTATTGTTAACTGCAAAGACTCACGTTATTTTACAGAGCTGGATGTAAATGTTCCCCACCCAAAATTCTATTCATACAGACAACTTAGAAAAATACAGACAATTATTTTTTCTCTGTTGTCTTTGTGGTTTGAGTTGTGGGATTTTTTTAGGGGAGGGTGAGGTTTTGTTGTTGCTGTTTTTTCTTCATGGAGAATTTGAGGAATGAGGAAAATATAACTAAAATATGCTTAAAATGAGAAGCTACAATGGATCATTTGATGACATCTAACCTCTTTTTTGGGTGAACTTCAGGAATAAGAGATCAGGAATGTAAGCAGAAGAAAGCTGTGCTGTGCTTTATGATAATGGGCACTCTCTTATTTGAATTATGAAGTAATGAAGGAAAATTATGTTTATGTAGTTCTAATGGTCTGGTTTTAGCACATAAACTAGCCTTTTTAGAGCAGATGCTAGAGACAGCTGGAATGTAGCAGTCAAGCAGAGGTCCCCAGCTCTCAGCTGGACCCACATCAGTAGCGTGTCAGATGCTTACCACAATCCATCACAAGATGATGCATCATTATCAAGGAATGCTGACTGATGAACCCCAAAAGTTTCCAGTAGAGTTCAGGATTCAAAGCTCAGAAGAGGACATAGCCTAGAGCTGCAGGTTATTAACTTTCCAGACCATGGACCACCAGCAATATCAAGCACTAACTTGTGTGCTTTTAAAATCAGCCTTTTAATGCAAAACAGTATAAAGAGGATACATATGGGATGTCTTAGCTAGAATTATTTCTGTAACACAGGGAAAAGATTTTTGTCTTTGGTATGATGCCTATGATGCCTCTTGGGGAAAGTGTGCTTTACTGAATGTGGTTTGGAAATTCTGGATTTAAAGGAGTGAGCAGGACTAGGAATTGGAGAACATTTGTAAGTCAGTCTTTCTGTTTACTCTTTAAGTAAATCACTTAGTCTCCCTGCCTGTGTGTTCCCAGCTGTGTGTATTATGAAATGCAGCTCATGCCACAGATCTGTTTTTCCCAACAGAACATGCAACTACTTGCAATTTTTAGACAAAGACTAGGACCCCAAAGGCTCACAGAGACCCAAGAGCTTCTGTTAGGAAGCTCAAACATAGGCAGAAGAAGAAGTTGGCTTAAATCAACCGTTTGTCATGTGCCACCTAGATCTAAATACTCCTCCTGGGTTGTAAATCAAAAAACCACCAAGGTGTCTCCAGTTCCCTTTGACTACCTACGGACAATGCCTGCTGGGTTGGAAGAGCACTGGAGTGCACCACTCACATCTCTTGCACTAGAAAAGGGCAAGAGGTGACATTAAACTGCTGTACTTCTGCATCACTCAGAGATTATTCTCTGGGGAGGGCTGATGTTATCCTAAAGGAGCTGCCTTAACTAGTTTTCTAGAGGATGAGGGAGAATGAGGGTTTAAAACTGTGGTTTTACTGCTTATCTCTGATCTGATTAAGGAACCCCAAGCAACCACATTTCAGGAGCTGCGTTCCCATATTTACACATGTATTTACATTCTTGCTCAAACCCACAGGCCTGAAGAGCCCTCAGAAATCCTTTAGTTAATTGAATATCTTGCTAAGTGGCAATGGCAATAGACTGTCCCAGAGCTGAGTATGGGCTTTGGATGAGATTCAAATTATTTATTGTCATATGAGAAGAAAAAAATCCATTAGAATTGTGATTATATTTTGTCTTCTGGTCTAACCCCTGCAGAAAGCCAAGGTGTTGGCTGACTGAAAGGGAGTTGACCACTGGAGGAGACCTCTGCTCATGGCTCATTTGTACACACATGGCACAATGTTACATGCACCACCTCAGTAGGAGTTTGAAAGTCAAACACCTTCAGAAGACAGACTCTTGTAGGGGAGGGCTTTGTGATGCCCAGGCTTACACTTTTAAGCTGGCTAAGGACCGATTTCCGTAGTCTCCTTCTGCAGACAACAGGTAGCCATGGGTTCTGACAGACAGTAACATTCAGATCCTAATTTATCAGCCCCCTTGGGTGTTTGCAAGATGTAAAACGTTCTACTTCTCACATGGATCACAGGCCATCTGGTAGATACATTGATTGTCATCACTTTGTATGGTCTGTTTGACTTGCTTTTATTTGGGCTAGAAAATCTTTCTGGCCACCCAAAAAGGAGAGGGACTGTTATAGAGTGCTCATAACCAGCTGGTCAAAATGGAGAGAGATAACACAGCTGCCATTTTTATCTGCATTTACAACAAAGCTCTTTGTGTGGACAGCTGCTTAAAAAGATAATCTAGTAATTAAGCTCTGTTACTGCAAACAGTTAAGTGGAGTTTTTTGAATTGGCATCTGGAAGTGCCATTTGGGAGGGATCTGAAGGGGAAATGTTAGAAACGGGGACAATCCTCATTAGCAGGTCGCAGGGGATACCCTGAGTGTGCTACTTACTGCAGCCATGCCAATAACAGGCAGACAGGGACAGAAAGGCCTGTCTGTATTTATTTAGTGCACATAACCCTGCTAGGGCTTCTCAGGTCTCCAAGTCTATAATTCGGGCTCTATTTTGCACAGCAGTTCCGCAAGAGCTCTGTTTGTTTGTGCTCTGTCTACTACCTGATGGGATAACCCTGAAAGTAAACAAGTAGTACATATTGGACCAGCCCTCAGCCACAATGACTCATTTTTCATAGCAAGTCATGGAGCCAGCACTGGTGAATTTCAACCAGCAGAACGCTGTGCGTTGGTATGCGTCTTGAAAAGAACCTGTGCATTTTTAGAGGAGGGAGGGAATGAAATTCAGGCATTCAAACACATCTGCTACTTTGCCCCTGATACAGACACAAGTCTGCCACAGGCAGTCAGTTGCTAGAAAATGGACCCAGAATACAGGATGTGGAGAAGCTGTCTGCTGGGAGAGGCAGCATCTAGCAGGCTGTTCTGCATCCATGCTGAGTGCTGGAAGGTGGCTTCACCAATAGCCAAGAAAATGTCATTGGAGATGTAATTGAAAACAACTGAAAAATGCATGAGTTTCTATCCTTGCAAGTGCACACAGTTTGAATTTTGTCACACATTTGACGGTTACTGCACTTGTCTTTTTTGTGTTCTTCCCTTTTGAGGTTTTTGATTAGCAAATCATCTAAAGATTATAACATGTTCCTGTTACCATGTAACTTGTATTAGCTTCTTTTTGTTTTGAAAATTGTTAAAGAGGAAGTCTTCATGGGAGGCAGGAGGTGAAGACCCTTACAATGACTCCTGTTTCTCTCTGAAGTGCCTACTTGAGTTAGTTAAAGCTAGGGTAGAAACATGAAGTAATAAGTGACTAGGTGCTAATCCAACCAGAGCGTTGCAGAGACAAGTCAAGAAATAATTGACCCTTGCTGCATTCTCTTAGCTAGCAATCACATTTAAAGCAAACAAGAGTCAAGCCTCTCAGCTTCTCTGTCACACATTTTTGTCTTTGATTTCTATATCAAACATGTTTTTCCTTCAGATTCTCCTTCTCTGCATCTACCCTGAAGTGCAAAGGACATGCAGCATCTTCAAAATTTCTATAAATGGTCAAAGGCAATTTTTCTTTGGAGTGTTTTTGAACTGACCAAAATAATGCCTCATCTCTCTTCCAAGGTCCACAGGAAGGGTAAGCTTCAATTATAATGCACAAGACTAATATTTATTACAAATGGTTTGATCAGTTTTGCTTCTGCTTCTGTTTCCAACTCAGTCCCTAAAAGACTGATTTTTTTTTTTTTCCCGCTTAATTTATTTGTTATGTGGAATTCCAGATAATTTGCTGGGTAATTTCCTCTAGCAATTATGTGAGCAGTTCATTATCAGTGCTCTATATTAAGTATTTCCAAGTGGAGCATTTGCAGCTGGGCTCAGAAATTGTATGATAGATTTCATTTCCTCCAGCAAAATATTGGACCAGATTTCCAGTGATTCACTGACAGCAGCTCTGATGCCACAAGCCACTGGAATGCTTGACTTCAATGAAGGAATAAAAAATGTATTTTCCTTAGGCTGATCGATATGCAAGGCACTAGTATTCACCAAGCTTGCTACTGTGATCCTGCAAACCTAGTTGTGCTCCTCTCTGCTTTTGGGAGCCTCATACTGATTAAATGAAAAGAATTCTTGAGCGTGTTTCAGTTACAAAGGCTCAAATTCACAAAGAAAGGAGATGTCTGCAAAAACAGGTGCCTGTTTGGATTGATGAAGCCATGTGCAGACCATATAATTATTTAGGTGTACAGGAAATTCCATTCAAAGTCTACCTGGAACTCAGGAGCTTGATGTACTGAGCTGTTGCTGAGTCACTCAGGACCAAAGCATCTGTCTCAGGACCACTTCATTTAGTGTGCCTCACTGCTCAGTAGTGCCAGGCCACAGCAGATCTGGTTCATACAAGAGGTTCCTAAGGGAACAGTGTTTTCCAGTTTTGGCACTACTTTTGGATCTGGGGTTGGTTTGTTTGTTTTTTCATTCATTCATTCATTCATTCATTCATTTGTTCACTAGTTCATTCATTTTTTGCTCCATCCTGTGATCTAGAGAGGACTGGTGCATAGCATACAAGCTTGCTCTAGGTCCTGCATCCCGGGCTAGCACTAGTAATTAACACTTGGACAGCACTCTACATCTTCGAAGACCTTCAGAAATATTGATGAGTTGAAGCTCTTTTGTGATGGAGAGATGTGGGAAACTCAACAAACAAAGGGTCTTAGGACCAAAACGTGGCTGGCTGACTTCATATGGCCACCAAGCAAATTAGCTGCTGCACTGTCTTTAAGATGCTGTTAACGAGAAGTTCATCACAGCTTGGTTTCCTCAGTGCATGTTAGGGACTGTGGAGTTAAGAGGAGGTTAATCAGGACAACTTTGCTCCAGGTTGTTTGAGGCAGTGTGAACTATGCTAGTGCTGGTGACCTCAAAATTTGCATGTTCTGAATCTGAAAAGCAGGGCAGTGGTTGGCCTTTCGCAAAAGTAGGATCATGTTTGCAAGAGATAATCAAGCGACTGAATGTCTTTCTCTTACTCCCCTTCCCTTCTATCCCAAAAGCATGAGGAGGGAAATAGGAGCTTCAACTCATCAATATTTCTGAAGGTCTTTGAAGATGTAGAGTACTGTCCAAGTGTTAATTACTAGTGCTAGCCCGGGATGCAGGACCTAGAGCAAGCTTGTATGCTATGCACCAGTCCTCTCTAGATCACAGGATGGAGCAAAAAATTTGACCACATAGGTTCAGTCCAGTATCCTGAACAGAGCAATCTCCTTCCAGCCTCCTCCCAAGCACACCTCAGACACTAGCTATTTTTTTGCTTCCACTTTGGTGTACCTTTACCTAAGTACGTTTCTTACCTATTATCAAGGGTGGGATGTGTATTGCAGGTGTATCTTTTCTCCTGGGCTTTCTCTGCTCGAGTTCGGTGACCTGAGAGCCTGGACTCACTCTCTCTCTCTGTGGCTTCTCTGTGATACCGTATCTTTTCAGCAGATTGTCAGAAAAGTCTGAAAGTATGCCTGTGGGCAACAACAGAAAAGAAAATGCCACTTCAGTGTTGTTCACATGGAAGAAATATGCGCCTGTGTAACTTTCCCAATGACTACTCTGAAGCAAGACTGCATGAGTGCGTGATCTGCTCTGCATGGTGTACCTACTCTTCAGGTTTTGCAATGATATATACATTTCCTCCAAGTCAATTATATCCCATAGATTTTAGACAGTGATGCTATCAGGCCAGCTGCCTCCTGGTTGTTATTTAATGGACTAAACTGCAGGCCATCAGAAATCATGGTAAAGATAAGTGCAATCTTCTATTCCAGAAGCTTAGACATCTTGTCAAAGTAGCTTGATCATATGGATGCTCTAGTCTCTGTTTAGGAGCAATGTGACCACACAGAAATAACTTATTTTACTTAGTGAAACAAAAGTTTTTTTATGATACAGCTACTGCTGGCAGAAAATACAGCTCTCCAGCCTCTGAGCCACTCTTCCCTAAGAGAGAACTGCTGAGGGGAAGACACATGTGAAAGCTGAACAGAGTCAAGTTCAATATCTGGATTACAAATACTGGAAAATTCCAGCTGCTTGTTTTTGACTTGGTGAATTGTTGTGAGTATGTAGGGGACCGTGCAAGGAGTTACTGGCTGACTCCTCTGTGTATGTGCAGCATGGGAAGAAGAGCTCAATGCAGTGGGTAGAGGAGCAAAGCTCTCTCCCTGGAGTGCACAACAAGGAGTGCTTGTTAGCAGAGAGAAGCGACAAACATTTATTCCCACTGCTGGTCCTGGAAGATCATCAGGTTTCAGTGGCAGTCTCCTGCTCATTCTTCCCTACCCCAGGTAGGTGGCATTTGGCTCCTGAACTTCAGAGTTTGGTAGATGTGCAGCAGCAAGGAGCATCCTACAAGGAGCCTCTCTGTTGCTGCACTGGTTTCTGGCTTCCCCAAACACCCATCCTTTGCCAGAGTCCCCATAAGCACAAGAGCCCTGCCATTTCCAGGAGGAGAAACCCATGGCCAGCTTGTGTGCCTCTTTGGTCTCCTCCCAGCCTTATCCCCAGTTCCACCTCCCCCTGAGCACTGGATACGAGATACACAAGACTGTGTAGGGGCTGAACTGGATCCTTTTTGATTTTGGACCATATCAGGTTGGGACATCTGGCACATGGTGCAAAGCTGTGCTCCTGCCCACCTCCAAGAGGACATAAGTGAATGAGGGGTCTAGAACCTTTGCCCAGGTTCAGTCTCCTCAGCTGAACTGGGATTTCGAAGTCAAGTGATGTATTTCTCACCTGTCAGGGGTGGTGGGGTGTGTAAAGCTGGTGTATCTTTTCTCCTTGGCTTTTTTTGCTCCTGTTCAGTGTTTTGAGAAGGTGGGATGGTTTTACCTTTTCTTGGTTTCTTTTTGAGGTCACAGCTCTTAATCAGCTGCTCTGAAAGATCTTCTGCAGGGGGCCAAAAAAAAAAAAAAAAAAAGTAGGATGAATAGAAATTGAAACTGAGGGGAAATAATAAAAGGTGAAAAGTAAGAGGTTTAATAATACTGCTTTCATCCAAGTAAATTAAAATGCCTGTGGAGAAACATCTCTTAAATAGAAAGTACAAGAGGCCTCTGTGCCAAACTACGTGGGAGTCAAGTGACTTAGGTGGTCCATCTGCATTGTAGGTGGTAGACATAAAAAAGAGGGAGGAGTTGTGGGCAGCTGAGTGTTCCATGGCAGAGGGAAGGCTGCACCATCGTGTGCAAAGGTCCTGTGGCCATACCTGTTTCATCCAGCACTGTGCAGGCTGCGCCTTCAAGAGTTACAAGGGCATTTTTGTGAAGGAAAGATTTATGTGTGTGGGGTCAGCCTGAGGTATTGGTAAACCCAGTCAGTATATTGTTCCTTTCAAGAGTTGGCTTTATTTCCAGAGCTGCTGAGCAGTCAGTATTCACTTTTGATTTCCATGACATTACACTGGATTCCTGGTTTTCTCTAAAGCAAGCCTTGACTCAGATGACTCAGATGGTCAGCATGGTTTTTCTGCCGGGACCTGCATTTCTGTGTGCTTATGCAAGCCAGAAATATTGAAGATATACCTTCATTAGCATCATCCTGCAAACCAAGGCTTTGATTTCTTAAAAGCTTCTTATTTGGCTTCGGCTGGGTCCCCCACATCCCTACCCAACCCCTGACTGCAGACTAGGACACAACGAGGCTTCCTTCCAGGCTCTCTCACACTATTTGAGGCAGCTGTATGTCTGCGAGCCTGGGGGTAGACACAGGAAGGATGACCACTGGGTGAAGTCCCTAGAAGATATGGGGTCTTTTTCCAGCCCTCAGAGGTTTCCTTCATGAAATGAGCTCATGGAGACATTCAAGACCCACCTGGACGCCTTCCTGTGTGATCTCAATTAGGTTCCTGCTTTGGCAGGGGGATTGGACTGGATGATCTTTCGAGGTCCCTTCCAATCCCCAACATTCTGTGATTCTGTGATTTAACCTCCCACTGCCTCAGTTTCCCCACTGTAGAATGGGACTCGTTCTGTACGTATTTAAGTAAGTAATTTTATGGAACAATTATGTTTGGTATGCCAGCAGTTGTAAAAGTGGTGCCTGTGGCTAGAAATGCTGTGTGGGAAAGGCAGAACTAGGAGACCTTCCTTGCAGGCCAGGTAAACAAAGTTTATAAAATTAGGCTTGCCCGCGGTGAGACACTTTTTTGACAAGCAAGTGAAATGGCGTTTGTGTTTTGTTATTGTCATCACGAGGGTAATAATGAGCAAATAAATTTTTGTTTCTGGGTTGCTAAATCTTCTTGACAATTTTGTGAGGCGGGAGTGAAGTAATAGTATTTGAAGCAGAGGCAAAGACCATGAATATGCAAAAAAGCACATCTATCAAGTATGAAGTCTGGTATTTAGGAGTGTGGTGGAGCTAAGATGCCTCTGGTATTCTCAGTGCAAAAGTTATGTACGAAATAGGTTCAAGAGACAAAACCAGATTGACAATGAAAAGAAAAGCATTTAGAAAGCCACCCCAGTGCAGGCAAAGGGGGTGTTGGAAATCTTATATTGAAATTGCAAATGGAAAGTGTGTTCAGGGAAGGCTCAGCTATAGCTTAGCTTTCAGTTTATTGTCCTATAAATGAAGAAACTGTTCTACTTTTTCTACCAAGGAAAAGAACAATGACTCTTTTTCCTTTTCTCCTCTTTAATTAACTTTGCTCTGAGCTTTATCTGAGGTTTATAAGCAGGAAAAATGCTCTTTGCCATTCCATCTGGCATCAGAAGTGTCAGCAGAAGGTGTAATCTATCGGGTTTCACAAGGGCTCAGTTGTGTTGCTGGAGGGGAAAAACGGACACTGGGCAGGACCTAATGATGTGAAGACAACACCTCTCTAATTACTGCAATGACATCATCTAATAACACTTACCTAAATGGTTACAGTGTGAATCTCGCTTGTCCAGTCTGTCTTCTGGGATATCGAGTGGCTGAACATATTCTGTTGACATCATTGAAATGGGCTTTTCTCCTCCTTTGAAGCTACTACATGAAAAAATAAAATAAATAAAATAAAATAAATAAAAAATAAAATAAAATAAAATAAAATTAAATTAAATTAAATTAAAAGGCAGCATGACTTAGACATGTTGGTGTTACGTAACCACTTGCCAGCCAGATCATGAGAAGTTCTTGCCTTCCAGCTGCTCTCTGTTGTGCAGTCTGCTGGCCTGATTTCACTCACATGTGCCAAGAGATGCATTTATTCACTGCCTTGGTTACATATGCAACATTCCATTTTTCCATCTCCTTTGCTGTACACAACCCACAGCAGCACAGGAAATACACTGGCTTTACAGAAGAATCCTGACTTTGAGCAAACAGAAAGTGCTATCACATACACTACGTAAGCACCAGGAAACAGGATGTTTTGTTCTGGTTTTCTTCTCCATTTTTTTCTCACCTGTAAACTAAGGATCATATTTGACGTCTACCATACAATCTAACTTTAATTACAAATGCTGTTGAGTTAGTCTTACAAGTCTAGCTCCTCTAAGAGAGCTTGGATACCCTTGAAGACCCAGGAGTGAGAGATGCCTCTGAAAGATGTCCAGTGCCCACAGGACCCAAAGCCAGCAAGAAGCAGGCTTACTCATCACCTTGATAAGAGCATGGGAACCCATTTCACAAAGCTGTTGGAGTACCTGTGCTCTGTGGGTCCCACAGAATATCTATTTTGGCTGGTTTATCCCCTTTTACTCATAACTGGAGAGGATCCTGGAGCACAGCCTCCTACCTGAGCTCGCCCAGCATCTCCCAAGCTGAAATTTGACCCTGGACTTGCTCACTCTGGGACCACCCCAGATGCTACCACAGAAAGAAGGAAATTATACCTTTTCTTTTTTTTTACTGTCAATCATTCTTATAACTGCTTAGCAGAAACCCGTAAGAATAACAGAGCAATGTTTAGATTGGATGTGAGGAAGAATTTCTTTGCTGAAAGGGCTCTCAGGCATTGGAAGGGGTTGCCCAGGGCAGTGGTGGAGTCCCCATCCCTGGAGGGATTGAAGAGTGTGTAGACATAGTGCTGGGGGACATGGGTTAATCGGGGACTTGTCAGTGTTGGGTTAATGATTGGACTCGATGATCTTAAAGGTCTTTTCCAATCTGGGCAGTTCTGGGATTCTGTTAAAGGAAAAAAAAGACCTACAACCTGAAGGTGCAGACTCAGTGATCCGAGTATCTCCCTTCAGCCAGGAACAGCTGTGGTAGTTTCTTACACACAACCTCTGTTCTGAATTTTCAGGGAAGAAGAGCAGACTGTGACTTCCTTGTAGGGAAGAGGAAGGTGACATGGAAGAGAAAAACAACAGGAGAAAACATGAAGAGGAGGAACTGGCAAAAAATGGAGGGAGAAATGGGAGATGGAGAAGGAAAGGTAAATAAAAGAGAAAGGTGAAAGAAAAGGCAGTCAGATAAAAAACAGTGAAAAGATAGAGTGGAAAATAGGAGACTGTGCTGTGGGAGTTTGTTTTTGTCTTGCTTAAAGTAATTACCTATATTATTTCTCTGCAAATTGCAGTGGTTATTTGTCAACAAGAAACAGAACAGTAGAGGAGTTAAACTCATTTCTATGCCTAAAACTTGCATCTATATAAAGAACCATTAATCCTCAAGCAAAATCCAGTCTCATAAATATTTGCCAAACATAATATGAAAGGTCGCAGTCATAATCATGCACTGAGCTAATTCTTCAGGGGATGGAAAAACATGTCCTAAACCCCAGTGACTTCAAAGTAAGTGGAGCAACACTGTCTGACAGTAATAAAGGTCAGGAGTGTTGACTCATAATGTACAGATGGGATTAACTCTCGTACCCTTCAGTATTCAAAATTCACAAAAAAATTGTAAAATTCTACAAATTCTTAGGGAATAGGTGTAAATACCTTACTGGATCAGGTCTGGATAAGGGGGTTGACCTCCAGCTGTTCACTGCAGAACTGTCCCAGTCCAGCCTCACATCTGTACTAAAGGGTTATGCTGCCTGGAGACTTCCTTTGCCTTTACAGAAAAAATGATCTTCCACTTGGGCAGACCCTGCATGAAGAAATCTTTGAATGCACCTTTGCATGATATAGTTGCTCTGTTTATCCCCTGTATAAATAAACTACGGTTATGGCTTAAAATGAAGCAGTCGTAATTTTAAAACATAAACTTATTATCCAGCCATATAAAGTGCACACTGCATGTCGCGATTTGAGGGAGGTTTTTTTTTTCCTTTGATGCCATTTAATTTTATTGGATTTGATTAGGGCACGCTGGTTAAATATTATGATTGT